AACCCAGATGATCCAAAAYGGACAGTCATGGCGTTCGTGAAGTCTGCCCAGGTTTGACGAGGGTGCCCCCTTCGGTACCATTGAAACCAGAGGATAGCTTCCCCTTCAAGATGCGCAGAAGCCAGAGCTACCCTATCTTGCCCCGATGTTTCATGGTAATTGAAATACCTTTCGGCTCTGAGAATCCAGGGAGTTGGGTCGCCGCCTAAGAAGATGGGGAAGTCGATTTTGTCTATTCTTGTTGTCGCCCCTGTTCTGCGGCTGTTTTCATTGCTGCGCTCTTCTTGGCTTCCTTTGTCAATGTTCGTTGCCCCCTGCTCTAGTCGAAGGAGGAGAGCAGTGAAGCCTTCCTTCATTTCTTTGAGATCTGAAGACATTCGATGGATCTCTACCTCCATCTGATCCACTCGGGTGTCTACTGACGCGTTTCTTGTGTTGGTCATGCTGGCTCTGATACCAAATTGTTAGGAACCTGTCTAACTCAGGGCTCTTCGAGGGGCCAACCTCCTAAATTCTTGGAAGAAGAGAGAGAAAGAGAGAGAGAGAGGGAGAGAGAGTTTAATGCTGAAAGAATCAATGCCCTATTCCCTTTTCTACTCTACTACTTATAGTTTTACAATCTTGATTGTTATAGTTGTTACAAGGCAGTTGTTACAAGTGGATGGCAGTTGTTACAAGTGGCTGGTTAGTTGTGCTAACGTGGCCTCCTCTTGTAAAACTGATTAACTGCCTTCTATTGGTCTGTTCCAGCAGTCTTGACAGTCATCACGACAAGCAACTACATCATGGGGTGCACTCCCTCGACACTCCCACTCGGGTTCAAACAAGCATCTCACATTAGGCCTCGCAAGAGGCCATTCATGCGGGGGCAAACGCGTGGGCTATCATTTGGAAGGCATATTGTGGTGGTTTGAGTGGGAGAGTGCCATGCTTCCTCATGAACATTAGTCAGTGTTCGTTTTGGTGAGGTGTGGGGGTGCGCTTACATCTTGATTTCACGACGGATGAGCCATTGTTTCGTAGCTTGTCAGAGAAACAACTAAGGCAGGGACAACAGTCCGAAATTGGTTGGTGTTGATGATTGGTCAAGGGATATTACTAAGGTGGCAGAAAAAGCATCAAAAGGGTCCTCATTTGAAGCTACAATATTAGAATGTTAGGAATGTGGGTACAGTAGCCATTGGAGCATGGCAGCACAACACCAGATCATGCATCGGAGGACATGCTCAAAACACACAAGCGGAATATTAACAGCAACAACACACATCACACAAGCGGGTGCATGTTCGGCAACATCATGGGAAAAAGTTGCCACCACCCAAAATAAAACATGATCAGATCCTTGAGGCAGAGAACAATGGGGGGTCCTTCGGAGCGAAGAAGGTAGCCTGAATACAGCGAGGCGAAGTGTAGTTTGGAAGGCCAAAAGAGTATAAGCCATGGCATGGTTTGAGTAACCCGAACATAGTGAGGTGAAGTCCGCAAGCCAGCATGGTGAAAAGGTTTCCCAGGGGAAGCAATGTCAACAGTAGAAGAAGACTATCGCATTGTGTTCAGTAGCACCACTAAAAAGCTACCAAGAAGTGAGCCTTGTGGTAAAGAGAACATGAGGTGGACCTTTGCGAAGCAACACACACACATGCATATCTTCGAGGGCCAAACACACACATAGAGGGTATAGTCATTGCACAATTTGAGTAATCCCAACACAGCGGGTGAAGTTCAGGTAGGCCAACATGGTGGAATGGTTCTGTCCCCATACATGGACACCAACATAGGCAAGACCTGGCAGCCCTGATTGCGGCAACGTACAGTTAAATTGGAGCACCCATAAATGAGGCGGGACACATATGCCCATTCATAAAGGAGGCGTTGTCGAGGATGACAACGGATTGAGTGGGTGAGCCTGTCATGATCTGACACTGACTTAGCCTTACCTACGCTTGGTGACCTATGTTGAGTGGCATTATCGTAAATTCTATCAATATGATTTTTCGAAAAAGTAATGTATCCTTCTGGCAAACCTCCAAAAACTTAACATCCTCTTTGAGAATGGGTGGTCGACCTCCTTAGGTGCCTATCCTTGGAACTCTCAAGAGCAACATCCCTTGTCGGGCAGCCTTAGTTAATGGCTAGGATGGCTACCAAGGTTTCTCATGGGCACACAATTGCTCATGGGGATAGTGCATGGACCGGCACTATGCAACACACATGAAGGGGAGGCTTTGCACAGTTTACACGTGGATCTGTCCTAAGCATGCCCCTACACCTTGCCAGCCCCGTGTATAAGCTACTCGAGCTACCCATGTCTATAGTGCATGGGTGTGTTCACACAGCCCAATAGTTTCCTAGTACATCATTGGCATAGTCCCCCTTTGGCACGTAAGCGATGCCTTTTATGGACTGGCAAGAGCCAACACAGAGCCTCGGCCATGCGCAGTGAGGTTATAATCCAGTGTCACTGACCTTGGTGGAGCCATTCAATGGGTCAACACATGACCCTTACACATAAAAGGTTTGTCCCAACCGCACATGGCCCAAACGCCGCACGGGTATCTTCCATTACCAAACCTAACCTTGTGACACTATGATATAGCCCACTAACTGAACATGAAGTCATGAAGGGAGACTATATACAACACAAATGGTCATTTAAGATGGATTCCCATGAATATGAATGTAATAGCAAATGATTTTTAAGGTAATAATAGCAAATAGTATAACCAGGTTGGGTATTAAAATGGTATTTTTGTAAATCAACTTTTCTTTATAAAGGGAAGGATTGCCTGGTCATAGCTTGTTTGTTTATATACATCCTCTCATTCAAGGACTAAAATATCAATACACCCAATTAGGGTTGTCCACAAGATGTTGTAAACCAACCAAACTAGAACTATAAGGTGGTTCGTGTTGGGCTGCCATGGTTCACTTTTTCAAACTGCCCACACTATAGTGGATTGTGCTTGCTTGGCACAAATTTGCCAAGAGGGGAGCTCAACATGGCCCAAGGCCCGAGCCCAACAGTTTTTTAAGAAAAGTTGAAAAAAAATAATGAAAAAATAAAATAAATTAAAATTGAAAATAAAAATTTATATATATGTGGGTCATGGTAGGCCTGGCCATTTTCCTATGTCATGCCATGCCAACTCATGGGCCTAGACCCCCTAAGCTCAGCATCAATGTTTTAAAATGCAGAGGCGTGACACGAGGTGTTCCACTACCTAGAGGCGTGAGGCGTAGTTCAGAACGCAAGAGCCATAAGCCTCCTTAAGAGGAGGGGGGTTAGGAGGATGAAGAGGAAGGGGGATCTCATTTTTTTCTTTATTTTTAATAAAAACATTTGATATTAAGAAGAATAAAGATGCATAACATTAGTTGAAAGGGGGATCTTGTCGAAGCGGAGGCGAACAAAGTGAAGTGAGCTTGCTCAAAAAAAAAAAGAAATTGGGTGCATCAGAAAGGGGGCAGGGGGGTCAAGGGGCAAAGCCCCCCAACCGAAGGGGCAGGAGGCAAACCACTTTATTTCCCCTTATCTTTTCTTCCCTTCCCTTTCCTTTTCTTTTCTTTCCTTTTCTCTTTTCTCTTCTCTTTCTTTTTCTTTCCCTTCCCTTTCTTTTCCTTTCATTTCCTTTTCTTTTCTTTTCTTTTTTCTTTCTTTTTGTCTTTTTATATAAGATGTGCATGAGGCGCATGAGGCGTGCGCCTCTAGCATGCCTCATGAAAAAAAGTGCATGAGGCGTACACCTCTTGCACCTAAGGCGTATGCCTCAGAGGTGTCAGTGCCTCTGGCATACGCCTCGGGGCATTTTGGGAGCGCCTCACCTAGAGGCGCTCCAGGCGTACGCCTCCCATGCCTTTTAAAACACTACTCGGCATGGCCCAAGGTTTCAAACAGTGTTGTTTCAAACAATGCCTAGCATTGCCCAAGTCATGCTAGGTCAGTTTCTAAAATGATTCAACCAGTCTTGGTTTAGAAAATGGCAAAACCCAATGTCTTGGTTCAAATGCAATTATGCCTTTTGTAACCCAAAGTGAAACCGAACTGAACCGACAGACACATATAAAGCATATATATTATGCCTTTTGTCTCTTTTTTTCATTTGATTGACAACCGGTACTCTCTATATTCGATCATCTCACCCATCTCTTTCTTCACTCAATACTCTTGCTTTTCTTTCGTACTTCCACAAAAATCCAAAAAAGTAAAAGCTACTAACAAAAGGTAAAAGATAATTGTGACTTTATGGGATTAGGAGAGAAGATTGAAGAGATAACATAGATGAAAATAGTGACTAACACTGCAACTGGCCAAATGCAAATGGTTAAGTGTAGGGAGAATATAGGTAGAGGCTAGGACCACTTATTTATGATCGACCTTTTAAGTTGCAGGCATTGATTTTGGTTTAGTTTAATTAAAACTGATTAAACCGATGTCAAGCAAAATGTAAATTTGAGATCAGTTTCCCCCCCTTGTTGATCAGTTTTGGTTGGCCTCAGTCAACCCAACCTTTTCAGTTTAGCTGCCAAAATTAAATGCAACCAAACCAACCCAACCTGTGAATGGTAGGCCGATGCCCTCAAGTGGGCATCGGTGTGTGTTGATATGACCGATACCATATGAGTTTTTTTTTTTACTTTCTAAATTTTATAAGTATTAGAGGGTCCCACCTATTACTTTAAAGTTTTAAAGTTTTTAAAAAACCCTTGTATTAGTGTATCCAAGTATATCAGGGTACACCGATATATGATATATATCTGGGCATTCATATTGATATTTTAATCCTTGCTCTCATGTACTTACTGTTTACCATATACAAAATAAATTCAGTTACCTTCTCAAAAAGAAGTATTATTCGGGTTAGTAAGCAAAAAGAACTTAAAAAGATGGTACTGTGGTTTAAAAGTCATAATGAACTAGTCGATGATCAATACAAAAATACTTTCTTCTCAAGTAGAGAAATTTAAGAGTAAACCAAGAACAAGAAGAAAAGCTTACACACCTTTACATCCACCATTTAAACAATTTCCACATACAATATTTACCTGCAAGAACATAAAAGGAATGTTTAAAGAAACTACCCTACCTTGACTAAAAAAAAAGGAAACTACCCTACAACTTTGAAGGTCATATAGAACACTTCGACAATATTAAATTTCATTTCAATACAGAAAAACCATAACACCTCAGACCTGAGCAGTACGCCCCTTTTTATCAAAGCTTTGCTCACAATTCATCAGGTCCCCATTGTAAAATTCCTGGGTTTGCATAGAAGGTTAAATGCAGTAAGATGTCAAGACTGCACACTAAATAATGTCTCATATAAACAAAGAAAACAAGGAATTATTTTTTAAAAAAAGAGGTAAAGTATAGTTTATTTATGATGAATAAATAAACATACAACAATGGGGGAAACCACAAGCCAGTTCACCCCCAAAGGGTATGCCCATAACTCCCACAGACTAACTGAGCTAAACATCCTAAACAAGTTCTGATTACAGAATTCAGGGATGATAGAAAGCCAGGAAGCAAGTCTGGCCATAATACACTGGACTAACACCTCTGGATCTTTCTTCTCTTTTCTGAAGACTCTGTCATTCCTCTCAGACAATATAGTACTGATTACTGCCGCTGGTAAGGCTATCCATATGTATTTGCCTTTTTTTGAGAGACCTAGAAGGTGCCAGCTATGAAGCAGATCCTTCACTGTACCCGGCATTACCCAACAAACACCAGCAGCATCCAAGAAATGGGACCAAATAGTCCAAGCGAGCTTGCAATGAATACAGAGATGATCAATGAATTCCTCTTCAAGACCACATACCCCACAGTCTATGTCATCCAGGCTGACACCTCTTCTTGTTAGGTTGCTTCTGGTTAGGCATTTCCCAAGTGTCGAGGCCCACATCAAGAAATTGATTTTGGAGGAGGAATGAGGGTTCCAAATCTGTTTACAGGGGAACTCACTTGCCCTTCTAATGGTCAGACCATCAGCAAACAAACTAACTGAGAGCTTTCCATCAGCAGTCCAGTTCCAGATCCATTAGTCTTCTTCTGAGTGGGGCTTAAAAGAGAATGTATCTAAGCTACTTAGCAGATCCACAACTTCATCCACCTCCTCCCACTCATGGAAATCTCTTCGGAACTTAGGCTTCCATATCACTTTACCTTGGACTAATTCAAAAGAGCCAGCAACCATTGCCTCTTTATCCTCAGCCACTGAGAAGAGCATAGGAAATTCCTCTTCCAGAGGGACCTCGGCAAGCCACTTATCCTTCCAGAAGCGGATTCTTCCCCCATTACCTAACTTGAAACTCACCCCTTTTAGGACATTAGGAAGAGTTTTCAAAATAGCTTTCCATATCGAGCATCCATATGAAGGCAAGTTGATAGCAGTTGTCCATCCCCCCGATTGAAGACCATATTTGAATGCAATGAGATTCCTCCACCAACTGTTTTCTTCCACTNCCCATATGAAGACCATATTTGGATGCAATGAGATTCCTCCACCAACTATTTTCTTCCACTCCAAGTCTCCAGATCCACTTACCCAATAAGGCTGTGTTCAAGGTTTTGATTCTTCTCAGTCCCAAAACACCTGAATTCCGAGGGGTACAGATCTGATCCCATGCAATCATGTGGATCTTTTTTTCATCTTCCCACCCTTTCCATAAAAAATCTCTCTGTAATTTTTCAAATTCTCTTTGCTATTATCCTAGGAATGGGTAAGAGAGATAGAAAATAAGTTGGCAGGTTTGCAAGAGTGCTTTTAATCAAGGTAACTCGTCCCCCTTTTGAAAGGTATTTTGCCTTCCAGGAAGTGAGTTTCCTCTCAAGTCTCTCCAACACTGGCTCCCATATTGCTTTAGAATAACACTTTGCACCCAATGGAAGGCCAAGGTAGGTAGTTGGCAGCTTGTTTACCTTACAACCCAGAGCATCTGCCCACATCATAATGTCTTCAATTCTGCCTACTGGAATCAAAGCAGATTTTCCCATGTTCAACTTTAGTCCTGTTGCCACTTCAAACCAAGAAAAAATCCCCACTAGTGTTTCTAATTGAGCAAAAGAAGCATCAATGAAACACAAGGTGTTATCAGCAAAGTGGAGCACGTTGACCTTTTCACCCCCAGGCTTAATTTCAAAGCCCTCCCAAAGACCAGCTTACCAGCTTGTCCTGCCCAATTGATGAATTGGGTCAGGACTTCCATTACACAAAGGAAAATCAGAGGTGACAAGGGATCTCCTTGGTGAATGCCTCTTGAACTTTTGAAGAAGCCAGATGAGTTTCCATTAATTATAACAGAAAATTTTGGTGAAGAAAAACATACCTTCATCCAGTTTCTCAATTTCTGGCTGAAATTCATTTTCTCAAGAATGAAGTTTAGGCATCTCCAATTAATGTGATCATATGCTTTTTCAAGATCCACCTTACAAAGAATTCCTGGTTTTCCTGCCCTCAGTCTTGAATCAATCACTTCATTAGCAATTAGAGCACTGTCCAGGATTTGTCTTCCCCCAATAAAAGAACACTAGTTTTCGGAAATTACACTTCCTAGATTCTTCTTTAATCTTTCAGCCAGCACTTTCGCAAGAAGCTTATAGAAGCTATTCAGCAGGCTTATTTGTCTAAACTCTTTGAGGTTTACTGCCCCTTCCACCTTAGGTATCAAGGTAATGAAGGTAGCATTTAAACTTCTCACCAAAGAAGCAGAATCATGAAACTCTTGAAACGCCTTTAACACATCAGCCTTAATAACATTCCAGCATTTCTTATAGAACAGATTTGTTAATCCATCAGGCCCTGGGGATTTATCCAGGTCCATCTTTTTCATCACTTCCCAAATTGCTTCTTCCGAAAAAGGTTTTTCTAAATCCTCTTTTTGAACTTCATTTAAAGTTTTAAACTGTATCCCTTCTGGCAGAAGACTCTTCCAAGGCTCCAAAAAAAGAGATTTGTAAAAATTGTGGCAATATTCTGAATTTCCCTCAGCTGCTCCCCTACCTGATCATCGAATTCCAACCTGTTAATGTTATTTATTCTGTATAGTGCATTCGCCATCCTATGGAAAAATTTGGAGTTTTTGTCTCCTGCCTTTAGCCACTTCACTTTTGCTTTCTGCCGCAAACTTATTTCATCCTTATAAGCTAATTTGTCAAAGATGATCTTTGCTTCATCTCTTTTTCTTCTCTCTTCTTCAGAAAGCACTCTTTGTTCTTCTAGATTATCTAACTCCTTGATCAGCTCCAGGCATTCAGACTTTTTTTGCTTAGTTAAAGTAGCTTTTCCTGTTCACCAATTTTTTATGACAGCCTTGATTGCCCCTAGTTTTTTGGCCAGCACATAAGAACCTGTACCCTCCAAATGCACTTCATTCCACTTCTCTGCAATTAAATTCCTTAGCTCGTCCTCTTCAAGCCAACTATTGTCAAGTCTAAAAGGAGCATGTTTAGTGATTTTTCTGCAAGAGGTCAGCTGAATAGGGCAGTGATCTGATAGTGGAAGCGGTAGAGCTTCTAGTTTTGAGCCTGGAAAACAATCCTCCCACTCAGCTGAGATTAGTAATCTGTCCAATTTTACCAGAATTGGGTCTTCTTGATTGTTGGACCAAGTAAATTTTGCACCTAAGAGAGGTAAATCTACCAACTCAAATCTGTTTATAAAGTCTGAAAAGTCCCGCATTGCCCTAGTTCTACATTGAGCACCTTTCTTTTCTTCAATAAACCTGGTAACATTAAAATCACCCGCACTTCCCATTGCAGGCTTCCCCACCCATCTCACTTGCCCTTCCCCCGAAACACTTCGAATTATATGAGCACTGATTTTTTCGATTTTTTATTCTTGCAAGAGAACCACCCCTGCCTTCCACCTTTTTAAAGCCTCACTCACCACCACTCTCCTTCTACTGGACCCTAACCCCCTTACATTCCATGACAGGAACTTTAAATCCATCTAAAACTGAAGAAAAGTGCTCCTGTTGTTTCCTCCCCTCCTTCCCATAGCCTTCTCCTTTGGCTCCCCCTACAACCAAACCCCATGAGAGCTGCTGTGTTACTTTACTATTCGTCCCCTGTCCTCCTCCTGCTTTTGCATTTCTTTTTCCTTTCTCCTCTAAAAACCTTCGCTCAATCCCCTCTAAGTATTCTATGGTTTCTAATTCCATTCCTTCCATCAAAATGCCCAGGAACTTACCCAAACCCAACATTTTCAACATTACCAGATGGAGGAAGACTCCAACCGCCTATTTTTCTCCTCCGTTGAAATACTACCCTCTGCATATTTCTCTCCTCCCGAGTTCTATCTCCTTCTGCTCCTCCAGGTCCCAAATTTGAGACCTCTTTGAGTTGTTTTTGTGAAGTCGAGTTCTCCTTTATCTCTATACTGCTTTGCTGATTTCCGTTACCCATCCATGATTTGGGTGTTTCTGCTATGGGGCTTGCTATGGAGTCAAGGATGATTTTTTTCCCTGTCGTCTTCTTCTGTTAGCTTCCTTTCTTATTTCTTTTCTGTGTCGGAGCTTTGCTGCCTGAGCTCTCTCCTTCCTTGATTTTTTCGTGAGAGGGCTCAAAGATTATTTGTGTCCTCCATTCCCATTGGATCATTCTCAAGATTTTTGGGTTGAGTAACCCAATTGGACCCTTCCAATACTGGTGGCCCATTCTTTCCCCTTTCGGGACTCCCACCCTGAGAGAAGCTGCCCAATGAAGCCGAGTCGCTCCAGTTTGGGTTGAGAATCCAGGTTCACCTGTCAACTTTCTAGGTGGATTGAGAGAAAAAATGAGCAGAACCTCAATATGAAAATTCTTTAGAATTGGTTCCCAATAAAGTTTTTTTTGGAGAGGGTGTATTCTGACACCTAGCCCCTGGGTGGGCCCCACCCTTAATTCTTTTAAGCAATATTTATGTCCAAGAGAAAGGCATTTTCATTAAAATGTGCAAATATTACATTACAAGTCCTAATATCTTTTTTTTATCAATAACAAGAAATCATTAGATTAATAAAAAATTTTAGTTACAGCACTCCAGAGAGAGATAAAAAGGCTTAACTCTCTCCAAGAGGAACAAAGAAAAAACTTACAAAACAGCCCAAAACATTTGATCCCTTCCCACCCCCTGCTTTGCCAAAGCATCTGCAAATGCATTTGCTGTTCTCTTAACCCACTGAAATTGGATTCCCAACACCCTAGTTAGCCATTTAATCTCCCTCCTCTCACTAGCAAATTTCCACAGTCCACTTTCCTTATGTAACCAGCTTAACACCAGCTTTGAGTCCCTTTCAACAACTAACTTTTGTAAATTCAGTTCCTTAGTCTTCCTTATACCCCCCAGTACAGCATAGACCTTAGCTTTAAGTCAGAACATACATAGACTGAATTTCAACGAAAAAACTATATCTGAAAGTCAAACCCCAACCCCAATGGGACCTGAATACATTGCAAGCACCTTTCCATCCTCATCTATGAAGACCCCTCCTACACTTAATGGACCTGGATTGCCCTCACCACTACTATCAAAATTTAACTTCATAAAGCCACAGCCTGATGGTGACCACACAGGACAAACAGGAGAGAAAGCAGGAGAAGAATTAGCCACCTCCATCCATCTATTCAGAGACATATCCATAGAAACATCATCAAGCAGGTCCAAGGATTTTATCCAGTTCAACACTTTAACTGTTATTACTTCGATAAGAGTTTCTTTACTTCTTTCATTTTCAGAAAAAGTTCTGGCATTCATTTCCTCCCATAGAGTCCAACAAATAGCAAAGCTAACATACATCCACATAATCCTTGGCAGTGGGGTCCACCTGTAACCAAATAAGGAAAGAAACCAGTCCCAAATAACAGCAGCAAGGGGGCAAGAAATTAATAAGTTGTAGGAGCTTTCATCATTAGTCTTGCAAAGAATGCACCAACTCGGAGGCAAGCACCAAAAAGGCCTCTTTTTTTGAAGTCACGAGTATTACACCTTTCCAGGAAGGCTTCCCAACAAAAGGCTCCAATCCTTAGAGGAATCAGCTCACCCCAAACATCCTTTACTGGAAAATTTTGTGCAGAATTACTAGTTGAAGGTAATAAGGACTTAAAGAAGGAAGCACAAGAGAAGATCACAGAAGAAGCTAGGGTCCACAGTCTCTTATCCCTCTTAGAGGGATCCAACACCACCCCATTTAATATCTGAACCAGATTCATAACATTTTCAACCTCTACATCCCTTAAGCCTCTTGTAAACCCCAAATCTCAATCAAACCCAGAGTTAGACTGAGAAGGAACCAAAAAACTCGAAGTTACAAATCCTAATATCAACAATGAAATCAAGGTATTATGTCCAAAATTTAATAGCATAACATCCATTCACAGCTACCTAGTTTCTAGTTTCTTTATGTAATTCATGATTGGGCATGGCAACCTTAGGTGTCTTATATCTCTATGTTTGCAATCATTTAGGAAGAAATGCATACATGCATAGAAAGAAGATAAGGGATAAGCAGAGAATCTAGGGCTAGATATGCAGATCATCCTGATTGATTGTCCTGGTTTGGTAGGGTTAAAGTCAGCAAGCTCAAGTTGAGAATAACTGAGGAATGGCATCATGAACTGAGAGGGACCATTACTTGGTGTGATGACAAAATCTTGGGCTGGAAAGCATGAGAATGTGGGTTCAAGTCTGAGGACAGCCACTTTGAGCAAAAAAAAAGTGCCAAAAGTTAGGACTGTGCCCAATTTACCCCTCCCAAGATCCCAGATAACTGGGACCAAAATTGGGTAATGGCCTTTTTTATATAATGAACTGCAAAGTCAGCAAGGAGCTCTCTAAAAGGAACTTCCAGTCCCAGAAAGACTGAAAGCTAGACCAACAAAGAAAACCAATCTACAATAGAATAAAACAAAAGAACAAAGAAAGGTTGGGCTTATCACCAAAGTCAAGAAAGAGCAAGTCCAAGTCAAACCAACAAGTTCAAAAAATGAGGCAAAGAGGATTACCACACCAGGTGTATTGTATATTATTCATAATGAGAATACTCTCTTGTGCAAATCAAACTGACATGGTTGATCTTGAGTTTAATGAACTGTGATGATAATTCTCTTACTTAAGATATCTACTAAAGCACGTCATTTGGATTTAACTCAAGTAATTTAATTTAATTGATTGTTTTTATGTTTATTGGACTCTAGGTAAAGTGACTCATAGCTGTCATGCTGTCCAAACACATTGAGAGGATAGATGAACTTAGTTGAACCCTAAATATGGATAGCAATGTTACTGCAATATATGTTGCACAGGAAAAACCAGGACTTACTTGAACAAAGTTCACATGCCCAGAACCAGCTACAAAGTAGTTGATAATGTCAAAATGGCCAAAATCAAGATAGCCCTGCACAATTTAAAGAATTAGTTTGTTGTTCTAAATTATCAAATAGAACAATTACTGCATGCCTCAGGATTAAGAAGGATGTAGTGATGCACCAATAATTTCAGATGTGGGTGACAAGAAAAGCCACCAACAACCAAATCAGACAGACAGACAGGCAGACAGAGTAATATGGAAGTACCATCTGTGATCTACTTTCCACATCTTTACAGAATCTAACAACCAAATCAGAATCCTGCACAGTTAGAATGCCATGACATATCAATCATTTGTGCAGGATGACCAAGAAAATGGCAGCATGCAAATTCTGATCCATGACTAGTAAATTAAATAAGGATGTTACCTTCCCATCATATTCAAAAGGATGCCCAATCCAACTAGTCTGAATCACAGTTTAGATGAAAACAATTTCATTGAAGATGACAATCAAAACTCAAATACAAACATGTCAGTGAAAATGAAAATTCAAATCCCTGATGAAATGAGGTACCAGTGTGAAATTAAAGGAGCCCTGACTTTGGCCTACCAACAGTTTACAAATTGCCAACAACGCAGATAAAGGTGGGTGTGAACATTACTCAGCAAGTCCTATAAGGCCTAGGGATTGCATATGGAAAGTATCTAAAATCAAATCAGTGCAACCATCCTTTAAGCTTGTCTTCTTGTCTATCTAACCACATATATTTTCTTCTAGACTCCCAAAAGCAGGTCAAAGATCAGATGTTATGGCAGATCTCTAAGCGATTGCAAACCATAAATTACCATCTGTACATCACAGTATATGGTTTTGAAGGATACAAAATCATAAATGTGACTGGTATTGTCAATCACATAGCAATTAGAACTTGGAGCTATAATAGATCCTACCCAAGGCGCCCATAGGAGAAAGGCTGACAATAAAGCAATGCTGCATTAGTTGAATATCAGAATAATCGAATTATAAAATATAAATTCTAAAAAATGTCTTTCAGGAAGCAAGATGCCATTTCAACCCTTGATTTCTTACAAATTAAAAACTTGCCTAAAACCATAGCTACAAGGAAGCAGTTGAAGGAGTGCATGTTGAAAGGGATTTCCCCACTCAGCATCTCTGCAAAAATATAATAACAATTCCACACGAGTTCAACCCACAACCTGACATCAATATAGTAACAGATATTCTAAAACAAGCTTCAGCATCTATGACATCAATATACATGTTATTTGACTGCTTTAGATGGTTGAGAAAACACTGTTGGTCCTAACAAACAATGAAGAATCAGGAAAAAACAAGGTGAAGAAGATGGATATGAGAAAGGAGTGTGTAAACATCCCAATTCAATGAAGAACTTTGCAAACTTGTCTTGCTAGCCTGATAATTTCACAGAATGGTGTGACCCATCACATTTTTTGCATTGGTTATTGTTACAATTCTGCAGCTAAAACATTTAGTTTCTATGTTTTTTACTTTAGTTTAGGAACTAATTAGGTTCTTGAGATATATTAGGAGGTTTTTTCAGAATGAACTTAGCTGGTTAGGCAACTTAGGTTTCACCTTGTACCATTGCTCTTATATATTGTAGATATGTATGCCTTTTGTTAATGGAGAAAATAATTATGTTTTAGGAGTGTGATCAGACCTAGCAAATGGTCTCAAACATTCAGATAAATGCCCAGAAAACAGCCTAGGTGAGTGCAGAAATAAATATCCAGAAAGTATAGAGGAGAAACTAGGGCTGAAGAGCAAGAGAGATCATTCCAACTGATCTCAACTGCACACTCTTTAATAAATTCACTAATAGAAAGATAAATTACAATTATAACCCTGTTTTTAAGTAAAGAAAGAAAATAAGGAATAAAAGACGTATAACCCTGTTGACCAAACACAAAATAATAAAAGACTTCTAACAAGGAGCAGTTACTCTTATAAAGGATTTGCCCCTCGAAGAGGAAAACCTAGGAGGTCCATCCACATTGTAAGTGGATTTTTCTCACCCTTTTTCTTTTTTTTTATGAATTTTCTATTTTTTCTATTTTATTTTATTCTTTAGTTACAAACATGCAGGGTCCTAAATTTGGTATCAAAGCTAGGTTTTTTAAGTCATAGAAATTGATGAAAATGAGACACAATTTAAAATAGTTGAAAAAGGGAAATTTCCCAATTAGTACCATGTACTTTGGGCCTAGTGCCACTTTGGTCCCCGAACTTTAAAATGCAATAATTCAGTACCCGAATTTTCAAAACGTGTCAATCCAGTACCTATCATTAATCAGACGTTAAATGCCTTTGAAAAGGACACAGATGCCCTTTGAGTGTCATCTAATTTTCTTTATCAACCATCCAAACATTGATAAAAAAAAAAAATTAACAGTCCTAAATCCTTGCCTCTTTTATTCAAGAACATTGGGGTCCAGAATGCCCACTAAGACGTGACCCCAACTTTCTTGAATAGAAGAAGCAAGGGTTTGGGATTGTTAATTTTTGTCAATGTTTGGATGGTTGATAAAGAAAATTAGATGACACTCGAAGGGCATTTGTGTCTTTTTCAAATGCAACTTAACGGTTGGTTAACGGTAGGTACTGAATTGACACGTTTTGAAAGTTCGGGGACCAAAGTGGCACTAGGCCCAAAGTACAAGGTACTAATTGGGAATTTTCCCGTTGAAAAAGAAATACAAACTCTCGAAGCAAAGATGGATGTAGAGCTTTGTGCTCTCAAAGAAGACTGTAATTAATTATGGCAAACTCTGAAGAGATCTCACAAAAGTCATCCATTTTTCAAGAAAGAAAACAATAATAGGAGTTAACAGATGCAGAAGATAGAAGAATATGAGCTAAAGGCCATCTCTCAATGTAGGTCCAGTTATCGGGGAACTTGAGAGGGGAAGACTGGATACAGACCTAAGCTTCAGTATCTTCTTACATGAAATAGCTATTCTCATATCCACATTCTTATGCTTTTCAGACTGAGATTTTACCAATTGCACCAAGAAGTAGTTCATGAAGAAGAACATGAGCATCAACTACAAAGTTATGAACCCACCAATGCCTGTTCAAGAGGTTGTTAACATGAGCAAAGAGAAACCATATTCCATATTCTGAGATCTGTAACGAATAGGTAATAGTTTCAGTCTTCATGGTGGAAAAAAGCTTCAGCATCTATGGAATGATCATGGAAATTAATGATGATGTTTTCTATAGTTTTGAGGAACGCTTTGCTCAGCATAAATTCTTTTAGTAGGTTGAGAAGATGGATTTTCCTTATTCAATTATCATTGGAGAGCCTGAAGAGAAACATGTAACATCTCTTTATGGCCTTACAACAATCATATTTAGTGGAATGGTAGTTCACAACAAGACCTATCAAAAAAAAAAAAAGTAGTTCACAAAAAGATCAATTTGTTTGATCTGTCAACCATAGAAAGAGACAATAAAATTATAAAATTTGGGATCCTAATGGAGCTTTGATCTTGAGGGTAAGATTGATTTCAAGGAGGGCGTAATGTTTCCATCACGTAGTTAAAATTTTTGGTTTCTGCGTTTATTGTTTTAGTTGAGGAACTAAATAGATTCTAAAGGTATATTAGGAAGTTTATTATAATAAAGATATTTCAGCTTGCACCATTTCCCTCATATATGTAGATGTTAGATGGCTGAGAATGGAGAAGAGTATTGTTTAGGAACAACCCTTGTGGAGGACTTTCCCCCTTGAACAGGAATATCTAGGAGACATGTTTACAGATATAAACAAAATGAAAAATGAATAACGAATATCAAAGTATTCCGATAGTTTTGAGGTTTTACACTTTACAAAGAAACAAGATGACTCGAATCTCAGAAAAAACACTCCTTCCTACTGAACTTTGCTTCGAGGACTATAACATTGATTTTGACATAAGAAGTTATTAAAATCTAACCATGGCTGCAAGAGTTCCCATTTATCAAATTTTCAGAAAATTTAGTGAAATTAAATCGAACCCAGTGGGTTGCCTAAAAAAGTGTTTGGAGGATAGCATTCCTTAGTTCTTCTCTCCCTATCTTCGAACCAAAAGTAGCATATGCATAAATTTTATTTGAGACGTCATTCCACCCAAATTGGCAAACGATTTCGGCGGTTACTCCTTGAATTTGGTTGAATTAAATTTAAAGAAAAAATGGAAAATGGGATGACAGAGCTGGAGAAATACCTGAAAAAGGTTTTCCGGCGCCAACAAAGTGCAAGAGAACAATATGTTCTGCAAATTATGTTTCGTATATAACGTCTGGTTTTGTCTCTGCAATCCCCTCCCTCCTGGTAACGGTTGCAAAAGATGATGTATAGTATAGCGCACTGCACGGTTCTATGCTCGGCACTACGGATCCTATGCGTTTGGACTCGTCAATAAATTTCGACGGGTCCAAACCACACTTAACCGAGAGGGTAACCGGTAAACCAATTAAGTCTCTCTTCCCCTCAAACACAAATATCAAAATGACTTTTTCCTCCTTTCTTGTCACTCACGACAGCAGTATTTGCAAAACACGTAACTAACTATACCAGAATCTTATGTTCTTTAAAACTATGATGCGGGAATGACATGGCATGGGAAGAGTTTTGACCAATCGAAATCCAACCATGAATTTTGATAAATAACACTTGATTAACTACCAGTTTATAATTCCAATTGATTAGTCAAAAGTTTTTAAAATATTAAATCTTTCTTATATTATATTGGAATCTTTTTCAGATTTATCTGAGAATCAGGGAAAGTTTATTTTTCTGAGTGGGTAAATAACTTTCCCACTCAGAGGAAAATTATCAACCCTTTTTAATAATGGATTTTTATAGCTAAAATGGTCATTGCCTTATTTACATGAAAAATAAAAGAACATGGGTAGATGTACTTATCCGGGTAAGTCTTTCCTGAGAAACACTTATCTGGGTAATTACATTTACCTGGATAAATAACCTACTGAAAAGCAAATGGGCCTTTATGTAATCAGATTGTATTTAGATTAGATTTAGATTTGACTCCATGTCTCCATCCCAATCCATTAAATTTCATATACAATTATATTATAATATTTATTGATTTTAAGATATAAATTTTATAGGGTAACTTATAGATAGGTATCATGTACTGTGGGGATAGTAACAAATAGGTACCCTAAACTTTTAATTGCAACACATGAATACCCTAATCTTTCAAAAATAGACATTTAGGTTCATCTTGTCATTGTATTTCTAAGATTATTCTCAAGTAACCAAACAACTCCCCATGATGACATCCTCACATGAACAACAAATAACATATTCAAATTTTCTGATGACAGCATTCTCTGGTGATGATTTTATTTTGTAGAATGATCTCAAAAATACATGAGAAGGGTATTTTTGATATTATGTAATGTTTAATTGACAGAATACTAATGGATGGACCCAAGTTTCTAATTTTGAAAGTTCAGGATACTCAAGTGTTGCAATTAAAAGTTCATGATACCTATCTGTAATTTACCCAATTTTATATAACTATATATAAAATTATAAAAAATATATTTTTTATATTATATTATATTATATATGAATTTATATATATATATATATATAATAAATCCGGTATGTTATATTTATATTAATAAATTATATAAAAAAGATGAAAAATAATTAACGTTTTAATTTTTGGTATTTTAACAAATTAAAGTGGAGTTGGATTAAATCCAAATCCCTTAGGATTCGAATTCGAACCCAATGTCTTCAAATCCAATCAGATTTTGGATCAGGTTCAGATACAAGTTTCCAATAAATCAGATCGGCTTTGGTTTTTTTTGAATCCAATCCAAATCTAATCTATTTACAGTCCTAAACGTAGAGAGTTAGAGACTAGACCTGTTCACGGGCCAGGCAGGGCCAGGTCTCGGCTGTCTTTACCTCTTTATTAGCTGAAAATGACCAGGCCCAAGCCCCAACCCTTATATAAAATCTGAAGCCCAATATATTTTAATACATTGATTATATATTATATAATATTATTTATCATGATCCATGCCATATCCCAACTATATGGGATTGACAACTTGGCACATAAATCCTATTTTGCCAATCTGTTTTACTTAAAAGCATATTATATGGGCCTGGTGTTTAGAGCCTGAATCCATACATATGGGCCTAAAACTTTGTCTAAGCCCAATAAAGAACAGGCTGGGCTGGGCCAGGCCAGCCCATCGGGCTACCTTGCCCATAAACAAGTTTAATAGAGACCGGGCAAGGGTAAATTTGTCACTTTGTTTTTCAAGGCCGATTCCACTCATCAATAAAAATTGCATGGCCTCCTCCGGCCTAACCAAAGATGAAATGAAATAAGGAAGAAGGGGGACCATGTTTCACTGTATCTGTTTATGCATTTTTTGACAAGCAAATGAGCCACCATATTATTATCTGGGTTGGCATGTTGAATAGAAACATAGTCCATTTATAGTGCATTTACGAATATTTGTTGCACATGTAATCAATATTTCAATCAATCACATTAAATATATCACATGGTCTATTTAATTTTCATTGGTTTATGTTTCACAAGATGCATTTATCATCAAAACTTTTTAACAATATTAAAAATGTTAGTTGTGATATGCTATTTTATCACTAATTGGTGTTTTTCCTTCTCTAAGGTGGCGAGGATAGCTCTATGCAGTAAAACTTGCTGATGAGTAGGGTGTCACATTCAACTGTAATGAAATAAAAACCCAGCTCTAATGCAATTAGCAGCCGTTTTAAGAAAGTCCAACGCTTCAAGTTCTTGTAGAAGACATCATGACAGAAAAGTTTTGCATCTACTACCAATGTGCTTCCTATTGTGATCCTTGGCCAAAATGCCCACTCCCCTCGTGCCCCCCATATGTTGAACCATCCACGTTTAATTCAATTTCCATTCCAACTTTTTCAACTATCCTATGCAAGTGTTTATCCAGCCTTCCATTAATTAATGTTAGATAGTTTATTACCTTGGTGTCAATGGACTCGGATCCATCTAAATCAAAATCATTTTGAATGAATCGGATGGACCAATAAGACATATTGAATTGAACCAGTCCAGACTTAATAGTCCAAAATATTTATTGAACTAAATTGGACCTAGTCCATTTGTAATGGATTTATATTGAATTGAGTCAAATGGAATTCAGTCCATTGACATTAGATAAAAATAAGAGTGTCAATGGACCAGGTTTGGATTGGACCCAGTCTAAATTAAAACCAATTTGAACAGTTTAGATGGTCCAGAGATTAAATTGAACCGGTCTAGAATGGTCCAAAGTATTCAACAGATTGGATTGGACCTGGTCCGTCTGTAATGAATTCATACTGGATTGAATCGGATTAGACCAATATTCAGTCTATTGACAGCCCTAATGGTAAGTTCGCTAGCCAACACTAGGTCATGGAACTGTTTTGTTGCCTTTCTTCCGATTGAGTATTCAGGTTTCTCTCTAAGGAAATTGATAGGCTTGTCCTGCAATTACGCTGCTACTGCTGTAAACGAACTTGTGAATGGAGATTGATGATGGAAAATAATGATCATGAATGGGTGAAAGATAGGTTTGTCTTAGGCTCAGTTTGGAAGGAGTACATATATAATAGAGTGCAAAACCTCGTATTTTGTTATTATTTTATATGTATTTATACTGTACATATTTGTATTTGTACTCTTTCCAAACTGAGCCTTAGAATTCTATAATAGAGAAACATTTTCGGTGATCCATTTGTTAATTGTTCCAAATTTTTAGATCATTTCCTACCATTAAAACCTTGTGTAAAATAATCTCTGGAATTGGAAAGCAATAGGTTGGATCTGTTAGACAGTTTATGTATGCCCTTAGCTTCAATCTAATTTGATGTACTTTTGTTATTTAGTGGAAATAAATAAAGTGCATGTTTGATTCATGTTGTTTGGTTTAATTCTGTGTAAAACCCTAAAAC